CTTCATGCAGAAGTGGCAAAGACAGCAGTGGCTTTACCACCAGCATGTTGTTTCTCTCCCGGACTTCTTCTCATCTGGTAGGCAGATTGATGGAGGCATTGTACAGTTTGGTCCAATCTGGCGCTTTTTTTTTTTTTTTTTTTTTTCCCAGCTGCAGGTGTATCACTTTCAGCTTATATCTGTACAGTGCATAATCTTAGACACCTAATTATAACCCACCATTGACAGCTCAACAAGCAAGCTTCGCTCAATTAAAACTGTACGGAGCATCTGTTCAGCTGATATGAAAAATACCAGCCTTTCCCAGTCTATCTATCAGCAGGGAAGAACTCACCATGGTCCTGTGAGTAACAGCCTTATGGCAGGATCTGCTTTTTCCCATCCCAGATCAACTGTTGTTCCCCAAATATGATACATATACAGTTCTTACAGTTTTCTTCATCCAAGTATGAGGAAAATTTATTTAAAGCAATGCATTGCACAAACACGTTAGTCTTTAGTGACTGCTCTGTGCTGCCATTTTCAAGGTGAGGGAGAGACCAACTCTACCTGACCCTAACTGAGGTTTGATTAACTATTGTTTTTCTTTGGCTCCCTGATTTCAGATTTAGTGACCTTTGTTCACTATCTAATCTGTTTTTTAATTCCTGATCAAATACTGATTTACTTTTCTGTGTGTCTCATAAGTACATTGCCTTTTAATACCAGTCCCACGTTTGACCACTGGGACTAGCTTATATTTGATCAAATGTTTGTGCATCTATAAACATTGGAAATGTGTATTTGCTGGAATGACACTCTGTGAGTCTTTCCAACAGCTATGCAAAATAGCTTCAAATTGTGAAGCTGCAATTCCTTTGATCTGTGCTCTTCACTTTATGTGAAGACATCTCACGGTCCCCTGCCTCTGCCCATCAACTCCTTCTGTATCGCTATTAATCTCCACATTTAAGATACACAGAGCTTTCTGAGCTGTAAAGGTTTGGCCCCAGTGACATCTCTTATAATGAGTAAGTGTGGTCCTAAGTGGGCCCTCCATTTCCAAAGCCCAAGACTCACCGTGTTCTGATAACCCACTTGCTGGCTAATGCATTTGATATCTACCTGAAAGCACCACCACAGAGCATGTGCGCAAACTCCATAGTACCTCTAGGAGTGTTTACCAGACTGTCCTTTACGAACAGTCCATAAATAGCACGTATTTGCTGCTGTAAAATGCAGAACACCTGGGTCTCTACCTGCTAAAAGTCTCTCAGTACATGTAAACAACTGGAATGAAATCCCAGCAGATGAGGAGCATGTAGGATTCTGCCATACCTCAGCTCAGACACAAACCCTGCTCCATCCCCACAGAGCAGCTGCCCTGCGGTGTGCAAGCCCTTGGATTCACATGTGAACAAGAAACAACAACTGAAAACCTTACAGGGAAAGTTAGTAAGTTCACCAAGTTTTGAACTGGGCTACTTTATAAAATCAAAGCATGCAATGGTTTCTTAAATAGTAATTAAAGATTATACCGCCAAAAATACTGCAGTGATGAGCCCTGGTCTCTCAGAGAACCACAGCAGCTCCCCAGAGAGGGGTGGAGATTAGTAAACACGTTTCACATGATGGCTTTTAATATAATTATTTGCATAACTGGATTAAAGTAGCACACCAATGTGCCTCTAAATCATATTATTGTTTATTACTTTGGATATCAGAGAAAACAGTAATTACATTGAGCAGAGATTCTTGGGGCTTGATTCAGAGGTGGGGCTCAGTGAATGTGGCTGTGCCTCAGTCCCCGACCAGCCTGTAGGA